TGGGAAATTCAAATCTTGGGACTGTTGAAGCAGGTAAATCTAGTAGCAGCACTTCTAAGTCCTCTTCTTGGGTCGCTTCTAAACTTATAGGGTTGTGGAGCTTTTTGGGGATCTCGATGGAGGGAATGGAAGTGGAGACAGTGAAGTTCTTGGAAGAGATAGAACAAAGAATTCTGTTGGAAAGGGGTAAGATGGGGGCTAAAAGAGGGGGGACAAACTCCAAGAGGAGCAGAGAAATGATGCGTCTCTCTTGGGGCTTGAATGAGAAGGCTGGGAGGAGTGTTGGGGCGGTAAGGGGGTCGAAGAAAAACTGAGAGGGTGGGGGGAGTGAGGTTCTAGGAGTGGGAGGTGTTGGCTCTTCTTTTGTTATATCAATGAATATTAAAATTCTTTCTTGGAATGTTCGAGGGCTGGGGTTTGGGAGAAGAAGAATGGTGGTTTGTGATTCCTTAAAGGCTTCAAATTCTGTAATTGTATTAATTCAAGAAACCAAATTGGAGAAAATTGATGCTGGTAGTATTCGGAGTATTTGGGGAGATGGCCAGGTAAGATGGAGGGCAAAGGCAGCCAATGGGAGTGCAGGAGGCTTGCTATGTCTTTGGGACCCCCTAGTTTGTAGTTTGATTTCTTGCAGAAGTGGAAATTTCTCGATCTCTCGTCTTGAAGCTGCAGGATGGTAATATAGTTCAAGTCACAAACGTGTATGGTCCAACAGTTTCTAATCTTAGGAGGAGTTTCTGGGAGGAACTGGCTGATATGAGAGGGACTTTGACTCATCCTTGGGTTATTGGGGGAGATTTTAATATCACCTTGTTGGTGGAAGAGAAGAATACAAGAAGTGGCGGAACTGTATCGATGAGGCAATTTGCAGATTTCATTAATAATATGGATCTAATGGAAATTCCCATTCAAGGTAACAGGTTCACTTGGACAAATAACCAGGATACCCCTACCCTGGTCAGATTGGATAGATTTCTTGTTTCCTCAAATTGGGAGGACATCTTTCTGGACTTTAGGCAGATATCTCTACCCAGACCTGTCTCAAACCACGATTGGTATGAGGAGGAAACGCTCAAACCATTGATGAAGAAAGTGTGGGAAGAACTTCAAGTGGAGGGATCCAGTTCTGGCAAAAAAATTGACGGCTATAAAAAAAGAATTAAAATATGGAATTTGGAGAATAAGTTAAGGTTGGGGACTGAATGAAAAGCCTTATTGGGTATTATTGAAGAGATTGATAAAGCAGAAGAAATGGGTCCTATTTCTGAAGAGTTAAGGCTGAAAAGACTTCAAGCAAAAAGCAGCAAGACAACGGGCTGAAGTTAATTGGCTAAAGGTAGGTGACAAAAATACACATTTCTTTCACAAAGTGGCTAATGCTAGAGCTAGAGTTTCAGCTATTAAGAAGTTGACATGGAATGAGAGATGTGGTGAATCTGATTCAGAGATTAAAGCAGTTGCAACCTCTTTCTATAAAGAACTTTACAAGGAAAAGCGGAAGCTGAGACCATTTCCCTTCAATCTCTCCTTTAGGCAACTGAGTGAGACCCATAAAAGTTGGCTTGAAAGGCCTTTTACAGAAGAGGAAGTCAATGCAGCAATTAAGAAGCTTGAAGGTGATAAATCACCTAGACCGAATGGTTTTACCAATCTGTTCTATCTGAAGTGCTGGGACTTTGTGAAAGATGTGATGAAGGTGTTCCAGGAGTTTCATGCAAATGTGTCCCTACAAAGAAGTCTAAATGCCACTTTTATCTCCCTTATTCCAAAAATTGAGGGGGCTATGAATATTAAGGAGTTTAGGCCTATTAGCTTACTTCACAGTTTTTATAAAATCTTAGCGAAAGTCTTGGTAGAAATAATGAAAGGGGTGATAGGTAATGTTATTTCAAATAATCAGAGTGCATTTATTCCAAGCAAAAAGATGGTAGACTCAATTTTAGTTGCTAATGAGTTAATTGACTCAAGGAGAAGACAAGGTATTCCTGGGGGTTGTTTGTAAGCTTGACATTGAGAAGGCTTATGACAATGTCAATTGGAATTGTTTGGATAGAGTGTTGGATTGCATGAATTTTGGACAGAAATGGAGAAACTGGGTTAGTGTTTGTACTAAGACCTCTAATGGGCAGCCCACGGGTTTCTTTGGTAGTTCTAGGGGGCTAAGACAGGGAGATCCTCTATCACTCTTGCTATTCATCTGTATGATGGAAATCCTCACTCTTTTTAGTAAGAAGGCTACAGAATCGGGATTATGGAATGGGTTTGCTATCTCTCCAGGTAAAGAGACAGTTAATATTCTTCAGTTTGCTGATGATACCCTCAGCTTTGTGGACGCATCTCTGCCTCAATTGGAAACAGTTCTTGAAATCCTGAGTTGGTTTGAAGTGGTTACGGGTCTCAAAGTCAATCTGAACAAAAGTAAGATCATCACAGTGGGTCAAGTTGTAAATTTGGAATTTGTGCATAGATAATGGCCTGCCATATGGAGCTCCTTCTGGTTAAGTATTTGGGGTTGCCTCTTGGGGAAAAATGTTCCTCTTCTTCAATTTGGAGTCCAATCATTGAGAGAATGGAGAAGAGGTTGGCTCTTTGGAAGGCTAAATATTTATCTTTTGGTGGTTGGGTTACATTGATTAAGAGCTCCCTATCCAATCTCCTAACACACTTTCTTTCTCTCTTTCCAATTCCAAATAAAATTGCAAAGAGGTTGGAACAGCTTCAAAGGAACTTCTTATGGGGGGATGGGAGGATGAGAAGAAAATTCACATTGTTAAGTGGGARCAAGTGTGTAAGCCTAAGGAGAAGGGTGGTTTGGGAGTTAGGAAAGTAAAAGATTTCAATGCTGCTCTTCTTAGCAAATGGATATGGAGATTTGCTTATGAGAGAAATGCTTGGTGGARGKGCCTCATTGCGGCTAAGTATGGTGTGGATTGGGGAAATTGGAAAACTCTCGATCCCCTTTCATTTGGGGGTAGTTCTCTCTGGACTGGTATTTCTAAGATCAGTACTCTTTTCATGAACGGGGTCAAGTTTAAAATTGGAAAAGGGGATAGAATCAATCAAGTTTTGGAAGGATTCCTGGTGTGAGGAAGGCCCCTTGGCTGATGCTTTTCCCCGACTGTTCCAAATTGCAGTGAATCAAGATTCTTCAGTTGCTGATAACATTAGTACCGCTGGGGGCTCCTTCTCTTGGACTCCCCTATGTGGGAGGAATTTGCTAGACTGGGAAGTGGAAGAGTATGTAGGTCTGTTGGGGCAGATTCAAAATCAGAGAATTGATACGAATATGGAAGATGAATGGACTTGGAAGTGGAATGCAAATGGTAGATTCACACTTAAATCCCTTTTCCTTAAGATGTGCAGCTCAGGTCAGGAGAATTTCCCAGATGGGCAGATTTGGAACCCCACCTGTCCCTCCAAGGTTAACTTTAGACAATGGTTATGAATAAATGTCTAACTAGGGTCAACTTGGAGAGAAGGGGTATGCAGATTCCTGATATCCCTCCTGTGTCTTATGAATTGGAGATTGGAGGGTCTTAGCATGAAAGGTAGGCTTGTTTGAAATACTATTCTGCAGGCTGTTCTTTGGTCCATTTGGATGGAAAGAAACAATAGAATTTTCTATAATCAATCTAAAAGTCCAGATGGAATTGTGCAAAAAGTGGTGGGGAAGATTTGCTCCTGGGTGTCGGTGAATGAGGAGCTTAAAAGTCAGAATGTTTCTCTCATTCTTTGTACTAAATCATGGATGTTCTTGTAATATGTTTTGGGCTTAGGAAGGCCTAGTTGGCCTGAGTCTTGTTGTATTTGGCTTTCTCATTGAATAAAATTACTTTACCTTTTTCCAAAAAAAAAAAAATTGTTGACGCAAAGTAAAATGCAAAATAACCATCTAATGAAAATGTATGAAAGACAAAATAAATTGCAAAATAGCCATCTAATGATTAGCCCTAGCTGTGAGAAAAAGAGATATCTTACTAGAGATTACAAGCTATGATGAATGCCAATAAAACACTGTAAATTAAAAATGCCACAAATCAAACAAAAGACAGAGACAAGCGGAACAAGAGAGACTCCTTCACTCGAACGAGCGAACAGAGAACCGAAAGATGCAAATGTGAAGATAGACTCCTTTATTTGAACGAGCAAAGAACAAGAGATGCAAAGAGGCTTGAGCGATCAGAGAGGAGAGAAGATAGTCGAGAAAGAGAAGAAAACAATCGCTAGTGAGAGAGAAGAGAGCCAAAATGGGCAGATTTTGTTGCAGTGAATAAAGGGGCAATTTTCTCTTTAAAAAAGAGACTACGGCTTGGAGAAATTAAATTATTATATAGAAAAAAAGAAGTTGAAAAGGTATTTTTAGTGAAAATATCTTTAAAAAATTACTTAAAATAAATTAAAATTTATATCTAATAATAGTGGTTGCAGAAACAGGTTTTTAATTATTTTTTTGGGTAAGTTATTTCTGAAATTAAGGTAGAAAGAGAGTAGGTTATTAAAAAAATAAGTCTCCCGTACTTATTAGATATTATTAGATATTATTCACAGGAGATGATTAAGAACAAAACATACCCATTTGACAATAGATTGGCATTGAACTGGTGCCATCTTTTCTACAGGCTTTCTTCCCATTAGGAGTTCCAAAAGTACAACTCCAAAAGCATAAACATCACTTTTCTCTGTCAGTTTACCTAAAAATTTGATGCAATCTCATGCTTTTATGGATGCACTTCACTTTTAGGTATGAGTGTTATCTTATCACACTTGCTGTTGATCTTGTTTTCTTATAGTGATTGTGTTTGATTAGAATATGAAATATAAGTATTCATGCCAGATTTTCAATTTCTAATATACAATTTTCCCGGGATTTTGATTTTCACAATATTTTTACAAGAGTGCCAACAGTTCCATGACATATGTCTACTTCCAGAGTCAGATAAACCAAATAATAGTACCATGCCTGCTACACACCAAGCCCCAGGAAATATGACAACCAAAGAAAATTTGAAAGGTTTATAAAGATTTTCTTGACAATTGAATATCAATGAACATTTCTCCAGATTCTCCTATTCTTCTTTCAATGATAAAACAATAGCTTCTAAAATGGCCATAATTTGGGTGCACAACCCACTCTGAAAACCCTATTAATCAAAAAAAAGAAAAAAAAACACTCAAATGCTACCTTGTGCCAAGGGTGAGCTTTTATCTGTGGAAAAACTCAGTGTAGTTTGGATTCATGCAACGAATTTCATCTCGTGTTGGAGTACCAAGAACCTGTACAAAGACATTAAGTGATCAAACTACTAGTGTAATTGTATGGCATCCATTAACATTTTAGTAAATTTAGGATTTGTGGCTTAATGACCCATGCACAGGTCCTCTACAGTATGTAGAGTTTAGAAGCATGTACAGTTATGCAATCTACAATACGCTTAAAGAGTCCAGCACAATAAATCAATATTCAATATGATTAGATGATCAACTAGGACTACTTTTACCTGTGTTTATTTGCAATGGTATATAAGATATTATATTAAAGATTAAAATTATATAGACCAATATCAAGTGAATGTTCCCCCTCTCACCAAGGCGCAAAATCTCAGTTGGGCCCAATCAATATAATTGTTGTAGTTTGTACATGAGATACAGGTGCAGATATAACATTTGACACCCGAATATATGTCACCAAGCCCTAGAATCAAGATATTCCATTAACTTTTATAGGGAAAATGAAGCTTACCTTGATGATCTCAACTAGCTGGTCAACTGCACTTTCTCCAAGAAATAATGGCTGTGAAAATTTAAAATTCAGAGAACATTAGCATAAATTATTACAGGAACCAAACTAGAACTTTCTTTCAAAACACTGAGAAAATGCAGGATCATTCATCCAAGGCCCCGTTTGGTTTGCAGGAATAGGGATCTGGAATCGGAATCAGAATGGGCTATTCCAATTCCAGCTATTTGGTTGGCATAATTGAAATCCCATTCCCGTTCTGCTGGAATGGCATTCCCCCATTCGAGGGAATGACCATTCCCTGCCCCTCCCTTGGGACCGAAATCTCATTGTTGTTGAACCAAACAGATTATGGAAATAGGCCATTCTGATTCCGATTCTGACTGCAAGCCAAACAGACCCTAAGATGTTTAGAGAATTGCATACCGGGCCAAGAAGCAGCTCAGCAAGAACACAGCCAGCTGACCAGATATTAATGGATGTTGTGTATTCAGTCGCACCAAATATGAGTTCTGGAGCCCTGTAGTAACGAAAGCATATGTACAATATGTTCGCTTCACCTTTGACCTGATAATATAATGCTTGATGAATACCATCAAAAGAGTGAAAATGTATTAGTAAGATAAGAGAAGATGACAAACTCCAAGAAAGCACGAACAAGTGAATACCCATAATAAGATAAGCGGCCACAAAAACCGATTTGAAATTTATGCATTCAAAAAAGAGCATACCAAAAGATTCTGAGGCTTTACATCCCTGTGGCAAACTCCAGGAACAGTGTGAATATATGCCAGCCCCCTAAATATCTGGAACGAAAACCCCTATTAAGTATCAAGAAAGGAAAAAAACAAGTGTCAAGCATTATATAATAAAAATAATCATATAGCATACTTGGTATGTATAGGCAAGTACCTAAGTTTGCAGAATGTATTGGTTGAAGGAGATTCAAAAAATGTGGTGAGGTGGTTGAAGTACAATTACAGTCGGACTTGGCAACATAGGTACACTGTTAAGGGGAATCAAACAATTAGCTAAGGGAATGGTTTTGGTCTGGCATTGGACTTGCAGACCAGCAAACAAAGTAGCCGATTCCCTAGTCAGGCAGGGTTTTCGCAGGGATCATTTGTATTGGGGTGTATTCAACTAATGTAGTGTGTAAATAGTAAATGGGGGCAGGTAGTAATTAGACTAGCAAAAATGTTGTACTTAAATTTTTTTACCACAATTAATAACATTTTATTGTTATTCATCAAGAAAAGAACAAATGATAGGAAGTGAAACTACTTCAAAACATTAGGAAGGAGCTATTTCATAGAAAAAAAAAAAGACAAAATAAAAAGGGTCATTGTATATATAGTACTTTTGAAACTTTTTTGTAACAATAAAAAGGAAATCAGTAGTCTTTTTGCAAGACATGAACCAGAAGAGATGGATGCAAGCACTAGATCATTTTGTTCACTTTGTTGTAGCAGATAGATTCTCTTTAGCCTTCTACCAGAATTTTTGGTACACAATTAAAAATTACTTGATAAGCATGTCTAAGGAATCAAAGATAAATGCAACTTTCATCTTCAGTGTCCCTAAAGTTCAAGGAGCCTCATCCTTAAAGTTTAAGGAGCATTTCATATACAATTGACTATCATTGAACTTTAGTTATGTATCATAGTGCACATCTCATCATTGGAGAATACTGGGGCAAGAGACATAACAGAAATATGGTATGAATTAGTGAAGAAATTCTTAGGAACAAGAAAAAAGGATTGGAAACATTGTGTTGAATTGTGCAATATATGGTGCAGATTAATTATGAAGTTCTAATGGTAAAACTTAAGCAGACAATCCGGACCAATAGGTTTTACTGACTCAACTAAGGCTGAAGTGTTGGCTCTCTCACTGGCAAATACCATCAAATGGCTAAGGGACAAGGAAGGGGATCCTTGGAGGCTAAGCCATTATTTGGCAGAAGCAAGGGATCCCTTAGACAGTTTAAATGCAAACCTGTTTTGGATCCCGAGGGAACTAAATCCTATTGCAGATAGCTTAGCTAAATGTTTGCTTAGAAAATCTGTATAGTGATAGGATTCCTCCTTTGTAATCTTTGGGGTTCTCCCCTGCTTTGTACATCCTCTCATGTACTCCATTTTATTTTAATGAAATCTGATTAAACTTTTCTCATAAAAAAAATCACTCATGAATAAACTCCTACAATAAACAATAAAAAATGATTCTTTGTCCCTTGATACTACAATAAACAATAAAATATGGTCCTTTCATCCTTCACAGAAATTAAAATGACGTGGCATTAACTCAGGGTACAAGTATTGTTTCTAAAGCATACGAAGCCTCAATCATGGCCCAAAAGCTGAAGAGGTAATTAAAGCTGTAAAATAGTTTACTACATGACAAGTCATAGATATTCAAGTTCGACATGAAGAATGAGCTTCCACATCTCTGCAGACCAGGAGCTTTTGTTAAGGAGGAAAACCAATAACTGAAAAGATAAAGATCCAGATTTATATATCAAGTTATCAACATATCAACAAAGACTGGACATCCATAACCTCCACGAGACCTTTATATGCAAACCAACTAAACTAGATATCAGCCGGGAAAAAAAAAAAAACCAAAAAAATAATGAAATGTTGCGGGCACCGGTAAAGAATCTGGAATCATTTGGGTCATCATTTCCAATCAAGCAACTTCCCATTTCCCGTCAAGTGGAAGAACAATTTACATCACTTAAGCGTATATGCAGCCCAAGGGCAACACAATGATTGAGTGAAATGCGACAAATGATTACTGACTACATATAACTATGATAAAAAAACGAAAGAAAACAACTACATCGGCAAAAATAGCTTGTCTGACTTACGAAAAGGTAGCTATATACCTGAAGACTAAAATCACCATTTCCAGCCATCAATTTCTCCAGACAACGAGTAGAGAACTCGAGTGACTTCTCGAATATAGCAATCATTATTGGCTCCGCATTTTCAACTGTTCGCAATGTCACAAAAAAGAAATAATGAGGTCACATTGGAGAAGAAGAAGAAGAATATGAAGAGTATCATAAATAAAGGGAAATACTTAAATCCAATCAAAACATAGAAGTTCAAGACAAAAATGACTCTTTGAAAAATCAAGGAGATGAATACAGTACCGGAAAGAGATCGAGTTGCAGAAACAATTGACTTGGCAACCGATACCACCGCCTGAATCTGCAAGTGGTTCCAGGTCTCCAACCCTAATTTTCCATCTCCGATTTCTCCAATTCCTCCTGCGAGGATTGAATAGAATTTCTCGAGACCTGCTCTGATCAAATCAGAGTTAGGCCTCTTGAAAAGATCTTTGGGCGTCTTCTCTTCGTGGAGAAGTACCATGAGTTTGGCGACTTCAGCCATGACGACCGAGAAGCAAAACTATTAGAAGTATGTACTTGATCAACACATTCGAAGTGTGATCCCCCTCCGGAGTATAACAAGAGTGAAGAGTCAGAGAATAGCCGCTAATTAGAAACTTGTAGAAACGAAGATTTTTTTACGGAATATTTAGGTACCAGAGAGAGAGAGGGAGAGGGAGAGAAAGGAAGGGCTCTCTCTCGACTGCTCCCAGCGAGAAGCAGCACTGCAACAGCAGCAACAGAATGCCATGAATTTAGGTGAGAAGAAGAGTGTTGAGAGTAGTAAGAATAGAGGCCGCCATTCAAGCTCAAAGGTTTCAAAGCTAGTTGTATGGATCCTGTTGGCCTACAGATTCTCGTGCACTGTTTAAGCAGCGAATCAAACATGGTCTGAAGAATCTAACTTTCTGAAAAACCTGTCACCTATGCAAAAAGCAGCTGATCCCCCAGGATGTTGCGAAGGGAAACTGGCTCAAATCACACAGGAAACAGGTTCAAATCACAGAGAAGAAGAGAGATGAGGGGAAAGAGTTCAAGAGAGAGGGAGGAAGAGGAAAAAGAGGGAGAGAGAGACTGGAAAGAAAGACAGAGAAGGGAGGGAAACGTGTCCTTTGCATGCAATAAATGTGAAACGTGTCTTTCGCATGCAAAGTAAAAGACAGATTACACGGCTTCTGTCACTCCACATGAAACGTGTCCTTCGCATGAAACGTGTCATGCAAAGTAAATCTACACGTGAAGGCGTTTATCTACTCGCACGAGTAATTCCGTTTTTTGAATGAGGAAAGCATCCATTCCATAATCTATATCTATACTATTTTAAAAAGTTCGAATGGCCTCAAGAATATTTTTTAAATTTTCTAAAAATAATATTTATCTTTTTATATTTAAATTTAATGATAAAAATGAAGGTTAAATAGAGTAATTTGTTCTTGATATTAAATGAATTGAAAAGAGGTAATTTAAAGATATTCAATACGTTCAATCTTTTCTCATTAAATCCAACGTTAAGTTATTAACTTACATTCATATTTATTGAATCATATATTTAAGTCATTTTTATTTCTTCTCATCATTAAGTTTTATTAATTAAATCCATATTTAATAAATTAATAATTCCAATAACATAAAAGTTTATACCTTTAAAATCTATCTAGCAAAAATAGTGTTTTCAACTAAGTGGTGGTAAGAAATTAAATCATTTTGGGTCAAATGGGTTAATTCGTGCTGCCACGATTAAATAATAAAATTAAAAAATAGATAAAATGAAAAAGTTAGAAATTAAAAAAAATGGGAACCTTTTTAACATACATATTAAACAATAATAAGTATGTTAAATAAGAAATACTTTTATTAATGATGAAAATGGAATGTAAAATTTAATACCAATTGGAAATAAAAATATTTTCCTATTCTGTCTTATTAAATCCTATATTCAAAATATATTTTTCTCATTATTAAATTCTCGTAATTAAATCCACAATATTAATTTTAATAGTATAAAAATAAATATTTGAAAAGTAATCTAAAAACAAAACCACTTTCTTCCCTCTCGGTGGTGGGCAAGCAATTTGACCATTTGGGGTCAAATGGATTAATAAATAATGTCATAATTAAATAATAAAAAATTAAAATAAATAACTATGAAATGCAAGAAGTATTTTTATTAATGATGAAAATGGAAAGCCAATTTCAAAATCTACCTAGAAATTAAATGATGTCATAGTCAAATAATAAAATTTTTAATAATAGAAAATACAAAGAATCACAAAAATAAAAAAAAAAAGATAAGAGAAAATTTTGGGTACATATCTAATGTTATATATTTATAAAAAACAAAATATTGGGTACATATCTAATATTGTACATTCATTATATTGAACAAAAATAAGTTTTATGCATAAGAAATGATTTTATCAATGATGGAAATGTAATACAACATTTAATGTCAACCTAGAAATCAAACAATTTTTATTTTTAGATGGTGGGTTAGTGGTTTGAGTAAAATGATACCATAGACAAACAAAAATTAAGTGTGATAAGTAAAAAATATTTTATATAATCTAAATGAAATATATAATTTAAAGGGAAAATTATAGTCAAAGTCGGTTATACATTTAAAATTAGGTTGCAGGTTGGTTCAGAAAACCAACCAAACTCTGAAAACCAGATCTACATTTGAAATTATAAAAACCTCCTCCATGTCATCAGAGGCTTATGTGGTTGTTGCCAACATGGGGCTCTTATTCCATGTTGGACAAAGCAAAAAACCTACATCAAAAATAGGTTTTCAGTTTCTCTCTCACTCCCTTTGTCTTTCGATCTCCCTCCTTTCTCTTTCACTCTCACAGTCATCTCTCGATCTCCCACTCTCTCTGCTTCCATCTGTAGCCAAATCAAAACCTCTCTCTCTATTGTTATCCCTCAATCTCCTTCTCTCTCAATCTCTATCGTTGTCTAATTGGTTTAAATTTCATAGCTAAGAGTTTCTTGTGAATTTTATCAAATTGGTGTAATAATTTTTGAACCATACCAAATTGGGCTCATTTTATTTTATACAATCTTATTAATACCATATAAGTGTGTAAGAAAATAAAATAAAAAACAAGAGAGTGAGAGGGAGAAAAATTGAGGGAGAATGATAAAAATTAAGGCTCTATTTGATTTGTGCAAAGATTTAGGTGGGATGGGAAAGTGTAAAAGTTTACACTTCCATTGTTTGGTTTTAGATATGAGCAAATAAATGGGAAAACACTATGGTGAAGAAGAGAGGAGAGAGGGAGGAAGCAGGTATGGGTTCGAACGGGGAAGGTAGTAGATCTGGGTTCGAAAGGGGAGGTAGCAGAAGAAGAAGAAGTCGCTGCTGCTTTGTTTCTAGGCTCGAACGAGGAAGGTAGCAGATTTGAGTTTAAAAGGGGAGGTAGAAGAAGAAGAAGAAGGAGAAGCCGCTGCCGCTGCTCTGTTTTTGCGTTTGAACGGAGGTAGCAGATCTGGGTTCGAAAGGGGAGGTAGAAGAAGAAATATCTGGGTTCGAAAAGGGGAGGTAGCAGATTTGGGTTCAGGAGAAGCCACCGCCGCTACTCGAATTGAGGTAGCAGATATGGGTTTGAAAGCCACCACCGCTGCTCTGCTTCTAGATTCGAACGTATGTAGCAGATCTGGGTTCGAAAGCCGCCGCCGCTACTCTGCTATGCTTTTGTAACAGTGCTTTCTTAACTTTTTCCATCAGGGTCACATGGTTTTAGTGCGACCCCAAATCCACAGTTTTGGGATCTGAGATCCCACATTTTTCTCATCCCATCCCTCTGTTTTCCTCAAACCAAATAAGAGAAAAGGGAATATTTTTAGAATATTCCCTTTTTCTCATCCCCATCCCACGAGCCAAACAGAGCCTAAGGGAGAATGAGAGATTGGTTGCGAAAGAGAATGGGAGAGATTGAGGGAGAACGATAGGTAGAGAGAGAGAATGAGAGAAATTGATATAAAGAATATAAATATAAAAACCAAAAACCATTTTTATCTATTTTCAAATCACATAGTCACTAAGAAGATAAATATGAATGTGAGTGAAAGTGTGAGGGAGATTGAGAGAGGGAGATAAACTAAAAATCATTTTTTTTTTAATTTTCAATCACCTAACATTAAAGGGCAATTTCAGTATAAGCTTTTTATTGTCAAATATGAATTAAGAGTCCCATGTTGGCAATAGCCACATAAGCCTCCGATGACATGGTGAGGGTTTTTATAACTTGAAATATAGAGCCGTTTTTTAGAGTTTTGTAAGTTTATGGACCAACTTGTAACCAAATTTTAAATGTACCCGACTTCGACTATAATTTTCCCTAATTTAAAACTAATCTAAAAATAATGCTATTTCTTATAAAAGGTGGGTCAATGATCAAATTTTTAAAAAAACGCATGATGTCATATTTGAATAATAAATATTTAAATTTATTTTTAATCATATTATTACTTTTTTAATTTTCAATTTCTATATTAACTATGATATATCTAAAATTCAAATAATTATATATATATATATATATATATATATATATATATTACGATTGTATCTTACGAAAAGCTGCCCTTATCGAAAAACCCAAAAAAAAACTCTACTTAGATAAAATCTAAGCTCACATTGAGAATTGAGAATATGTTCATGTACTTTAAATTAAATGGAGTCACGGAGAAGCTACCAAATCACATTACACGTGTAACGGCCACGAGGCAATCTCTCCCCCAGAATACAGTGCTTTTTAATTGCATTGAGTGAGAACGGGAAGCCTGTCAATCAGAAGAACACTCAGGATCTGCTACCCACGTATTATTGCCATTTGCTCAAAGAGTTGAGAACTTCTGCTAAGTGCCAACGGTACACGTTCCAACACCCTACAAACGTAATCCGACACCGCATGTCTGTTCAAACTTCAACGTTCAAACCGTAGAGACATCTATTCCCTGAGGCCTGAGCTCTGACTTTCAAGTCTCACCTTTCCCGCTGCGTCTGTTTTTCTGTTTCTGCTTGTTAGCTCGTACGAGTGCGTCTCTGCAGTTCCTTAGTCGGAGGGAAGAGAAATAGTTGAAAAAATGGCGGAGAGCTTGGAAGATTTCCAGCCCATGTTCGGGAAAGCAAAAGCAGAGTGGGAGAACCCGTGTTCCTTCCCTCTGCTTCTATTCATGTTTCATGTCCACGCCTTGGATGCTTTTAACCTGAGAGTGCATGTCACTGATTTCCACTCTTATACATGGGAGGCCACTCGATCAGTTGTAGAGCTCGAAGAGTTGGTAGGCTTTTCATTCTTCAATTTTACTATTTCCTCGATATCTTAAGTCATGCCCACACGAGAACTGAGAAGGACGAGAAACGAATTGAGAAAAATCAAATGACACTTACACCTTAGAATCCAAATCACTGATATTCAATGATTTTGAGTTGAATGAGCAAAACCCATTACCCATATGATATGAGAAACAAATTTGGGCATTTGAGATACCCTTTCTAAGCCTGATGAAACCCCTTTTTTGGGTTTTTGTAATTTTACTTGTTCTAAACTTGGGTTTGTTGGATTTACACCGGGCTGTGGTGAAAAGGTTTAGGGTAGATGAGCAAATGAGATTTGACCACTGATTTCTTTATTTTACTTACAATTTGCAATTTGCCTTATTGTTGTGCAGAGAGACAATATTGGCATTGGTGGTTCATGGTCTGACTTTGTTGATTATCTCATAGCTTCAATTAAATCTGACAATGTGAAACTTGTTTTAAGTGCTTCCCCAACACCAGCTGGTGATAAGGGTGACTTATTTTCTTCTTTATCCTCATTTTCCTAGTAAATGGTGGAGTGTTCGTTCTTTCTTGGAATGTAGCAATATTAGTAGAAGTGCATTTGAGATATGTAATTTGTTCACAAGAGAGATTAGATTAAACTCTTATTGTTTGTCCTCTTTATAGTATAGTAATTCTATTTCAAAGATATGGTCCTGAGCAGACTAATAACATTATTGACATTAATAATAATTAGATGAATTAACACTTAATATATTTTTCTAAAATTACACTGAATCTGCAGGAAGGATATGGATTGTTTTTTCAAATTTGTGATGATGTTAAAAAAGCTGAGTCAAGTTACAGAAGAAAGTCTTTCCTTTTTTTTTTTTTCAAATTTGTTAAGCATTGGTCCATAAATGCAATGTTAGGATTTAGTGATTTCATCTCTGCTGCAGAAGCTTGGGTGCATCTGGAAATTACAAAAAGCATAATCCAGATTCTAATGTTGTCTTGGAAATGTTTACAATCAATTCCGAGTCATTGATCAAAAAGAAGAAAAAAGTTCCTGCAGAGTCAATTTAAGCTGGGAAGTCGTCCCCTTCTGGGATTTTTTGCACAGTGACTCCTCAATGTTTCTGTAAATCCTTGGGATTTTCTCTTTTGAGCTGAAGTTTGTTTTGGCTTTTGCTTTGTACATCTCCTCATGTACATCCCCTGTTTTTAATGAAAGTTATCCTTTTATCTCAAAAAAAAAGGTAAGTAACCAAATTGTAATGCCAAGAAGGGAATGGGGAGGATATTTATATGAAGGTAAGTGTACTAGATGTTTGCTTTGATTCCTCAAAGAAGGAAGTTGTTGCAATAGTTTTATTTTTTGGATTCAGAATTTTACAAGGTTAAATAAATTAGTTCAACAAAGGGGATGTTTTGTACAGCGGTGTTGGGTTTGCATTGTGTTTTGGGTTGACCAATACAATTTTGTAAGAAATGTGTTGCCGCATCATATATGAGTGTCATTTCAACTAGAAAAATGCATGTGTGTGAGAACATCAAAATGTTTTCAAATTATTTTTTTGAGGAAAATTTAACCATAATGCAATCAACAGGCATTATAAGATTCTGAAAAGAGGAAGAAAAATTGTTCGTGTAGCAACAAGCAAACTTTAAAATTGCTGTGTCATTTGAAATCTATGCTATTGCCACAGAAGAAAAATCATAACAAGGAATGAATTTGTAGGGAATTAGGAAGGCATTAAACATTTTCTCTRCAACGTARTTTTTTCTTTTTTATGTTGCTACATTATTTTCTTTTGGTTTTTATGAATCATGAATAATTC